CCCCCCTTGGGGGTGATTTCTCGCTTTCTGTCTCTATGTCTCTCTGTCTGTCTGGCGAGCGCATGCGCCCTGTAGCAAAAACCTCTCCAAAATAAGAAGAAAAAATCCATCGTATGAGAACAGGAAGTAGTGTGGCAGTTACGGCACTGGACTACCACATGAGCAGCCATGATTCAGGCCCCAGACTCAGCAGCTTGAAAATCAGGCCAGGTGTGCATATATCATCAAGATTCCAAGGGTGGGACCAGCAGGTGGCATGGTGGTTAAGGCGCAGGACTCACACATGGTTGACTGTGGTTCAAGTCCTGGTCCTGGCGGCTTGCCTTCTCATTTTTTTTCTCTCTCTTGTGAGTGAGTGTGCCCTGTAGCAAAATTTAAAAATAATAATGAAAAATAAAATAAATAATAATAAAACAGTATAAAGATCCCAAGCAGAAAATGGAAGAGACGGGATTATGGTGTGGCCCAATTCTTTAAAAAATTGTTTAATTTCATTTATTTTCATCATTTGTAGAGAGAGAGAAATGGCGAAAGCAAACTGCCTGGTCTAGGACTTGAACCATGGGCAGCCACGTGGAAGTCCAGTGCGTTGACCACCATGCTACATGTTGGCCCATTGTGAAGTACTTCTGATCCCAAGCATTTCAGATAAGGGGTACTTCACTTATAGAAGAGTATTCTCTCCACTTATTTCCTTTTTACCATGACTTAAACTTTCCTCTTCTGGCAATCAAGATGGAGACTATCAGATAGAAGATACTGAGTAACTAAAATCTTTGTTAATTAGAGGTTAGGTTAATCAGAAATGCAGAAGCACTCAACATATGCTAATTATGTATATGTGATATGGGTGTGGGTGCTTCAATCTACTGTCCAACCCTATTCCCAAGTCTGACAGAGAGCAGTTTTTCTGGAAAAAATGCTACTGATACATTATCTATTTATACTCAGTTTTATAAGAAGACTAAACAGCTGCCAATCCTACTCAAGTGCTGTGAAGAGATCCAACCCCATCAGTGGAAGCCTCCAGTCGAGAGGGAAGAGCACCGACTCCCCTTCTGGCTGAAGGTACGCCCTTTCTTCTCAATGTCTGTGGGAGGCAGAAGGCCACTGTGAACATTTTTGCAGAATTGTCAAATAGACAGACATATGCCTGCTTTAAACTTCTAGAGGTTTGGTAATAGAACTGGGTCTTAAGAAATCTTCCTTATTTACCCTTCCCGGTTCCCCCTACACCTTTTTTAAACAAATGAGTAAAATGCTTATTTCTTACAGGATATTTAGAGAAGAGTTTCTAGAGTATATTATTGGAACATGTCTATGTAGAAATTTGATATGCAGAATAACCCTTCTGGAAGACCAGTAGATGACATAAGGGTTACATTGCTGAACTCCCACGTAGTTGACCGTGGTTCAAGTCCTGGACCTGGCGGCTTAAAACTCACACCTCGTGTGTGTGCCTGTGTGCCCAAAATCCCAAGAGGAGGATAGAGGAGGAGGGATTGCAGCATGACCACCCCCCTGTGCGGTGATTTCTCACTTTCTGTCTCTCTGGCAAGCACACGCACACTGTAGCAAACTTTTTTTTTTTTTTTAAATAAAAGAATAACCTTCTGGGAAAGGTGTCTTGAGACTGTCTCCGTAAGATTCCTTAGACATATGCCTGCTTTAAACTTCTAAAGGTTTGGTAATAGAACTGGGACTTAAGAAATCTTCCTTATTTACCCTTCTGGGTACCCTACAGCTTTTGTTTTTGTTTTTGTTTTTGTTTTTTGGAGAGATTTTCACTAGACCGAGGCCTAGAAAAAGGCAGCTCGGAACTGGGGAGTGAAACTCGGTACCCGCTGCTGTTGCCTAAGGGGGTCGTCCTGAAACTAAAGCCCGTGGCCAACTGTTTCTCCAAGAAGGCTTCGAGACAGAAGCAGTCGTCAGTCCTGAAGCCCCTTCCTATCCGACCCAGCCCCTCCCTCCAGCCTAGCTTCAACCCTGGTAAAACACCAGCCAGGACCGCTCAGTCAGAAGCCCCTCCGAGCAAAATGGTGGTCCGGATCCCTCACTTGATCCAGCCAGCCACTGTCTTACAGGCAGGTCCAGGTGTCCCTCCACTGGGGCCCAGCG